TAATTTCTTCCCTGTCTCCATAGCATAAGAGTTGAGCTGGCAATAAAGAGAATGACTTTAAACCAGCAAGATAATACAAATCCAATACATAATATAACCTAAATTATTAATATTTGACAATGATATGTTTATGAATATATGTATATGTATTTTTAAAATTTAGATTCATGGAGTGTCACACTCAATTAAGCTATTTTCAACATAATTTGCTTGATGATATTGTCAGCAAAATACAACCCTGTCAGATTATTGCCTACCTGCCCTTGTTTGGTCATGGAATGGATTCTTTGCCCACAGATTATATTACACATGTAGCCACAAATACCTGTGAAGCTACTGTATATTTTAAAACAAGTATTGTTTATGTCAGAAAAACCAGTATCACAAAGAGAAATGTCTACAGAAAGTTTATTTTTAAATATTTAAGCCTTATAATTTAGCCTAGTAGCTTTAGTTAAAATTTAGTAGTTCTAATGCTAGTGTTCAAGACTAGTAAGTAAACAGAACAAAACTAAAAGAAAACTAACTTCCTTTGGTTTTATAGAGCAAAAACATGCTAGTAAAAATTAAGGATTCCAAGCACACACAAACAAAAAAGCTGGCCAATCTCACCCAACTGTTTTGATGGTCACAGTGAAGTGAAGCTGGTGGAAGGGCTAGAGATATAATGGAATATTATTACACTACTTTTTAAAATGGCTACAGAGAGATTAGAAATTATATTCAACCTTCTGTTTCTGTGAGTTGCACTTTTACACATTATCAGTTTGATCTTAATATTTTGGAAGAATTAGAATGCTCTCACTTAACTTATTGGTTAGTAAACATTTTCTGTAAAGGGCCATGTAGCAAATATTTTAGGCTTTGTGAGTCAAGAAGTCAAATTGAGGATATTACTTATATAAAAAAAATCCACTTTTTATTGATAAAATTAAAAATGGAATATAATCTGTTGTAATACAGATCTACTACTAAAAAGGGAATTCTCTTTCTGGGTGATAACATGTCACTTAACTGGAATTCAAAGCTAGTGTTCCCTATCATCAACAGTTTTTACAAATGTTCATCTGTCAATGCTGTGTTAACAAGATTTTATGTATTTCATTTTTTAAAATGTCTTTTTCCACACGAATACTGTCAAATCCTGATATTAATCCACATGCATGATTTTAATTGAGCATATTCACTGCTTGAAAGGCGATTATAGAATTTTACTACATTCTTCTGATATTTGCCTTTTCATGTCACTACATTGTATATTAATCATTTTCAATTGAAGGTTTGGTGGAATCTCCTTAATTGCACACTTAAATGGATTTTGATATGTGAAAATTCCCTTTGCATCTGCATCCAGGTCTGAATAACCGATGAAAATATAGTTTGAGTTTGGAAATACACCTGCTGCAGCTGTTTAGGAATGAAGATCTTAGTTCTTGTTTTAACTTCTGGCATCAATTAAAAGTATACAAAATACTATATAAAGCAATTTGACATTTGTGATTCAAATGTTAGTTGTCAAATTGTTTGACATACAGTGTTTGACATATAGGCACTGTTTTGCCTTGCAATTCTCAATTAAATTCATTAAGAAATACTAACAGGTCTGAGGCAAAAGCTAATTACCAAAGTCATTCGGTGTTTAATAGAAGTAGTTGAAGGCAGTACTAGTTCATAAAAATTTCAACCCTGGCCCTGATCTCAAGAAAATTGCAAGAAAACTTTACCACTGCTAAACTAACAAATTACTGTATAGTAGGACAAGTCAGGATATTCGGGGGCGGGGGGGGGGGGGGTTTGCATTAAAAAAAAAATTTAATACAGTTCAGATCTGTATGTCTGATTCATTTCAGCTCCTTCAGTGCCAAAACCTGGGGGCAGGGATTGCTTCAGTTTCTCTGCCTTCTCTTTGTCTATGATGACCAAAGTATAAAGGTATCTGCTGCATCGAACTTTAAACTTCATATTATTCTTATTTTTCTTGATCTTGACAGATTTGGCAACCTTTCACCTGGCTATGAGCAGGAAGTCCTTGATTTACTCAATTTTGCGAGGCATGGCTGAGGCACATGGCCAGTACCTCAGGATCTATTTCTGACAAAAATTCATAGAACTGATCATGGTTAAGTCCATGAGACTGAATGAAGTTCACTGACACTACTGGATCAATAACACATGAAAGACTCAAACCTTTTCCACGATGTATCTGCTGATGAAAATACAACAAATAACAATAGGTTTTAAAAATATTACATTTCACACTCTTTGTAAATTTGTCCAACAAAGTCTTCTGCTCCACACATATTTTTACCACATTCAGTTATAACACATTTTAGCAGGTTCCACTTCAGGTTGTACTGACTTGGTACTTTTGCAATTTCTTTGAAAATATTTTCTCCTATAGTCGTTCCATGCAGTCACTTCAAATTCTGCATTGACTTCCTGAATAAATAACTCAGCTGTATCAGTAACATCTGTCTAGTCATTAAGAATCTAGGAAAAATACTTGAAATAATTTGCCTTGATTTTTAATTGAGTATTGATGTTGCTCCCAATGTCCTCAACTCTTCAAGCGACTGTTCTTGTTAAGAGGCTAATAGTCTTAAACAAGTTTATTTTCTCTGGACACATTTCTTCAGCGGCTGCAATCAAACACGAATTAATTAACTCATCATTGGCAAATGGCTTTCCCTGCTTGGCCTACAAATGAGCAACTCAGAAACTTACTTTAGCCGCAGCCTTATTTTCGTGAAGAAATTCTGCTGTGATGAGATATCCCACTTCATATTTTCTACATTTTCTGATCATTGTTATCCTGAGTTTTAATTATTGTGCTAAATGCTTAGTCTAGTAATTTCAAAGTTTATTGTACTGTTTTTTTTTTTACCACAGCTAGAGTAACATTGCATAATAAACACACAATGCTTTGCCATCTAATTTAATAACAAAATAACCCGTACTCCACTGTGCCTTAAAAGCATGCCATTCAAAGTTCATTTTTGTTCCTTTTGCCATGATGGGTATGCAATAGTAACAAAACAAAGAAATAAAATGTTGCAGTATGGAGATATACCTAGCACTAGAAATGCTGTGGAGTTTTAACTTCATAACTGGGATCCGTAGTACACTAAGCAGCAATATAAACTGATGAGAGCAACACATACGGTTTCTATTGCAACTACTAAATTCTGCTATTGTATTATGAAAGAAGCCACAGACAACATGTGAACAAATGATCGTGGCTGTGTTCCAGTAAAACGTTATGGACGCTAAAATTTAAATTTGGTATTTTCATGTGTCCCAAAATATTATTAGTCTTTTGATTTTTTTTCAATGATTCAACATGTAAAAACAATTTTTAGCACACAAGTCATAAAAAAAGAGGTAGTGGGTTCTACTATGCCGATCTCAGATTAAACTCATGTTATTACGAAAGGCCATGTCAGATAGAAATTTGGTTCTCATGCAGACAGAGGAGCTAGACTGCCGGACTAACTAAACTTGTTTCCCCATCTCTAAAATGAAGATAGTTAGTACTCACCACACAGATTTCTCTGAGGACAAACTGAATATCTAAATCACTTAGAACAGTGCCTAGCATACAGTAAGTGTACTAGATGTTAATATTTCTTACTGAATAGAATACAACTGCAAATGGATTTCAATTCTTACTGGCAACCCTAAGATTTAAAACTCCCCCTGGAAGTCTGAGGCAAGCAGCCTGCTTGGATGAATATTACAGATGTCCTCCAAGTAAGACACTTCCATAGTCTATCAACACCAATGTTTCTGTTATACTTCCCACAATCCTACCAGCATTTTAATTTCTAAGTATTTCAAATTGCTAAGCATTACTCCTTTTCTCAGGTGTGGCTGCAACCCCACCCTAAGAAAAATTTTTGAACAGATCATCTCTAAAGTTCTGTTGTATGTCTAGACTAGTGAGCAAGTAGAAATAAAAGTCAAATTTTAAGTAGTATTTTTAGTGATCACAATTTTACACTAGAAATGCATAAATAAATCATTCCGTGTGAGCAAATATAAATTACAACACATTTTTTTGTTGTTGACTAATAGGGCTTAGATGACTTTTGATTGATTAGAAAGTAACCTCACAAAGGAATCTGATTATAAATTCCTAACAGGCAGGGCATGATGGGTCATGCCCCAGGCATATAACTTTTTTAGTAAAAAGTTTATCTTTGCCTTAAGCAAGCCCTGTCCATTGTTTCCATGTTTCTGGGTTAACACATCTTTGTAATAACCACCTTCAGAACAGTACATAATCTTGATAACTACCCTGTAATCCAATCCCCACCTTGCTTCCACCCACTATCACCTAACATTCCTTACGTTCTCTCCTTAATTTCATATGCATAAAAGAAGCTGCAAAACTGTTATTTTGGGAAGCATCTGAGATCTTGCTCCCTGGCATATGTCATCAATTTGACTCGAATAAACTCTCATAAAAATTCTCAAAAAAAAAAAAAAAAAAACCGCAAAAAAACAAAAAAGCAGCTTTGGATGAGATTCAATACAAAAATATACCTTTATTACTCTGGAAAAAAAAAAAACCTGTTTAAATATATAAAAGCCACAAAAATTAGATTACAACTATTCATTATTTCATATGCATGAGTGTCATCCAGCCATCCTCAATTCCCCAACAAATATTTAAGACTAAGAACTCAGGAGACCAAAGACTGAAGGCCCTTTCCTTTCTTTTGGATTAGCTGTCTCAATCTGATGTTCCCTCTTACCCCAAATTATGAAATATATGCATCTGGATTGAAAAGAAAATATGGCATATCCGGATGATTCTATTCTTATTTTTTCCCTAATTCGTTTTGTTTTACAATAAATATGAATTACCTATAGATGAGGAAAAGTCAAAATGGATTCATTCATTAAAAGACAGTGTGGAAAATCCACAAAAAACAAAGTACCCCAAATAGTGATTTTAACAGTTAAATAGTTAAATAGTTAAAGCCATAATTGCTTACCTACAACCAGGCCACACTCAGGACAGATCATATCACCAGCTCTGTAGTCTTCCACTAAAATTGCATCTGGATGGTTTGGACATGTGACTTTTGGAAGAGCATCCAAACTAAATGGGAAAAAGAAAGTATTTTTTTATATGATCCCAATCAGCATGTAATGAAGTAGTTTTTGTTTGTTTGTTTGTTTGTTTTTTGGTGGAGGGGTGGATTTTGAACACTTTTCCAAAACTATGTTTATAATACATTTAGGCTAAATTTTCAAAGTATACTTCCCAGTTAGATTACTTTAAATTCTAGTGAGTCATTAACAGGTAGATTCCATTGGAATTATTTTTTATAATAATTACTGGTTTGCAAACATGAAAAGCTTTAAAAACTTAAATGGAAAAGTGTTTTCTCTTAACATGTAGGCTACTAAGATTTTTAAAAATCTTTTTTAGCATAGAAATGACTAGCTACTATAATAACCTGTGGCATTTACATATAAGTATCCAGTTTGTTCCCCCTGCCACTTATTTCTGTGGTCAGAGAATAAATCTCAAGTCTATGTTTTTCTACTTGCTAGTTACCTTAGTGATAGATTGAGAATAGTACACTGAACCTAAACTAATAGGTATATAAATGAAGGTGGTAAATATGGCTCTGCTTAAGACCTGATGATTTCACTTAGTCCAGAACTGAGTTTGTTTACATTCAAGAAATGATTTTAAGAGCTACTTTTTAATCTATTTGTGGTATTAATAATTCGCTCAATTATTTTATTTTGAAAATAAACCAGTTTGGGGAAGACAAATCAGCCTTAAATGACCTGACAGAATTAGTTTAAAAAAGGAACAAAGATATTTAACATAGATTTGGTAATCACAAATGTTTGGTATCACTGAAAATGAGCTGTCTTTAGAAGTTCAGTTGAAGTAATATCATGAAAGGTTATGTTATAGCCATCCCAAATATACATCTAAAAGACAACATCAACATTCTTATAATATGTAGATTCGCATGCTAGCTAATACAATTCAGAATATTAATTCTCAATACAGAAGGTGATACCCACTGGAAAACTGATAAAATAATCCATATCCGCAAAATATGTATATTCAAGGTAACCAAAACACGTCTTGGATCTTTTCATTGAAAAAATGGGGGATGGGGGTTTGTTTACATTCACACTTATTTCATAAATTCCTATTAGGAAAATATTTTAGTTATGACAAAATGTTAAGAAAGTAAAAATTATGAAAAATTGTTGAAATAAAGGAAAATGTTAGCAGACTAACAGTAATTACAAGCGTGTAAAATGGGCAGCTATGTGGCACACAGCATACAAAGAAAAGGATTGATGGATTTTATACTCATAAAAGGTAGATAGAATATCATGCATGTAGTGTGTATGTATGTATATAAATGATATGGAAACATCTCAAAGATATGCTAAGTGAAAAAAGGTATAGATTTAAAAAATTGGAAAAAGTATGCAGTTATATGAAATATCATTGCTCAATCTCAAAATCTGATGAAAGAAACTAGACAGAGGAATACATATGTCAAAGCAAGTATATCTATGGTGTTAGAAGTCAGGATGTGGTTATCTTTTGGAAGGAGTAATGACTGAGGGCACAAAAGAGGCTTCCACAGTGCTAATGGTATTTGATTTCTTGCTGTAGGTGGCAGCTTGGTATATGTGCTCACTTTGTAATTGAGCTGTGCACTTAAAATGCGTGTGCTAACTTCATAAAAAAAGGTAAAAAGCAAGTCAGTGAACAGTGCTTACATGAGACTGCTTTTTTGGGAGGGGAAAGAGGAGATTAGAACCATATGCATGTTTGCTAAAGCATAGACTCACTGGGAAATCACCAAGAAACTGGTTACAATGTCTGTTTTGGGGAAGAATGAGATGGCTGGGAGCTAGTAAAGGAGGCAGACTGCTTTTTCACTTTGTTTTTACACTTTTGTGTGTTACCTATCCAAAATAAAAGGAAATCGTGCTAACTTTTAATCAAATCACCCACAAGAGTAATACAAAAGAGGAACCACAAGAG